TGACTCCATTCTGCTTCTAGCCTCACAGGCCGGCTGTCCTCATTCTTTCCTGGGCATAGGCCAAGCTACCATTGAAGGATCTTAGTTTATAGTTTAACTTTGAAGCAAGAATGCTAATAGTCGCTACATAAAATTGACCCTCTTCCTGTTTGGGAACTGAAACCACCTCTGTAAGACTAATGAAAGGTCGCAAGATTAGGATTAAGGGAGGGGTCTGAATTCAGCTAAGGTGTGGGCATAGTTTGCCTTTCTATAATTGTTTACTGTGCCAGAGGTCACAAGATTTGTAACTTTCTCAGTTGCTCCTATAGAAAACATCATTAAGACTGATCACTAAGATTGATAAAAGAACCTAAGATTGGTCTTTTGAGATGTTTTTCAGACTTCTTTATTCTGATGACTGATTTACTTCACCTGGATCCAATTGGTCTCAAGACTCAATTGGTCCTGGGGCCCCCACCCAGAGGCTGACTCATCTCACAAGGACTGTTTTTCACAACCCCATAATTTCATCCCCAACCACTCAGCAGCACCCATTCCCTAGTCTCCTGCCAACCAAATTACCCATTCAAAACTTGAGCCTCTGAGTTCTCAAAGAGGCTGATTTGAGGAATAAACTCCATGTTTCATTTTGCTAGCCATGCATTAATTAAACTCCTTCTTTGCTATAAAAACTTACTGTTCTCAGTGCACTGAATTTTCTGGGTTGTGGAAAAGATGAATCCATCAGGCAATTATAGAATATGCATAAATATCTGGAAGGATAAACACCAGACTAGTGACATTAATAATCTTTATGAGGGTGTGTAAATGTTGATGAAAAAGGCAAACTCTACAAAATATTTTAAAGATATTTATTCTGAGCCAATATGAGTGACCATGACCTGGGGACCATTCTCAGGAGGTTCTAAGAAAGTGTGCCCACAATTAAATAAGTCAGTAGAAAGAAATGCTTGAGTTAAGATAAGAAGGGTTGGGAAACCAAGGTTCTTGTTATGTGGAAGAACCCTCCAGGTACCAAATTTCAGAGAAAATAAATGGTTAATATCTCTTTTCAGGCCTTAAAGGATTCATACTCTCATTTAATCTCTCTTATATCAGGGAAAGGGCTAAAAGGGAAGGACATTCTTGTAGATACAAATTTCCCCAACAAAACACTGCTTTACAGAACTATTTCAAGAGATGTCAAAGAAATATATTTGGGGCAAAATATTTTTCTTTCCTTCAGGGTCTGTTGTCATGTGATGCTATACCAGAGTCAGGTTAGAATCTGGCATCTTATTGCTCAAGTGAGTATGTTTTGTCAGGCTTATAATCTCTGTTTCAATGTTAGCACTGGTCAGTTGTGTCTAAACTCCAAAAGGGAAGGTGTTTAATGAGGCATGTCTGACCTCCTTTCCCATCATGGTTGGGAATTCAGCTTTTCAGGTTTCCCTTGGCCAAGAGGAAGTCCATTCCGTTTTTTGGGGGGGGGGCTTAGGATTATATTTTTGTTTACAGAAAGCAGAGACTGCATAGATGGGAAACACAATTATGACAGATATTTTTACACATTTTGATTTTAAAACAATAACAATGAAATGTAAATCTAAAAATTAAACACAATATCCTTTGATCATGTATAATGTAGTTACAATGTTAGAGAAAGAAAGAGTTGTTACAAAGAAAGAGAGAACCTTTCCATTTCCTTTTCCTTTATCTTTTGCAGAAAATGAAACCAAACATCAGCAAGCCCTGCTTTGTCTCTCTCCCTAAGAGGTTCTCACCTCCACTTCCTCCCGTGTCCTGCTACAGTCTCCTCTCTGAAGGCCAACGGCCTCCAAACAGCTCCTTGGTCTGTTCTGCCATGATTTTGGCTCACTTGTAACTGTTAATCTGCATGACCCTTACTCTGGTTTCAATTCTACACAACCTTTCAGCTCCAGATTCTGCCTCTGTTTCGAATCTCTTTTACCTTTTTTTTTTTTTTTTTTTTTTTTTTTTTTTTTTTTTTTTTTTTTTTTTTTTTTTTTTTTTTTTTTTTTTTTTTTGTCTTTACGAACTCTACCTTTTCACCTTAACTCCATATACTTAGAAGAAAAAGTCTAACTGGCCTGGAAAACATCACCCTTGGCCAAGTAAGTCATGGTTGGGTGGCAACATAGAACTCTTTAGTGCTACAGTGCTACAGGTAGGGCTACTTATCCAAAAACAAGAAAAACTAATGAGAATCTCTAAATAAGGACATCAAAGGTTACATTGGCAGTGGGAGAATTTCATACAGACTCTAGAGTTATTTTTCCCTTTACAGTGGGTAAAGGTTTATAAGATTCAATTAGGTGATACCAGGTATCAACCTGTAAGTTTTATGCTTCAATGTATCGTTCTCTATTGCTATGGAACAATTTTACTACAAACTCTCATTTGAAAACAATACACATTTATTGTCTCATAGTTTCTATGAGTCAGTAGTCCAGGCATTGCTTAATTGTGTCCTTTACAATGAAAGTGTTGGCCAGAACTATGTTCTCATCTGAAGCTTTAATGGGGAAGAATCCACTTCTAAGCTTATGTGTTTCTTGGCAATACTATCAGTTCCTTGCAAGCTGCCAAACTGAGGGGTTCAGTTTCTTGTTGGCAGGAGTCTGCTCTCAGTTCCTTGCTACATGGCCCTCTCCATAGGGATGTAAACAACATGGAAGCTTGCTTCTTCAAAGTCAGCATGGAAGAAAGGGTCTCTTTACAAATTGGAAGTTGTGATCTTATTTTTTATTTTTGAGACAAGAGTCTTGCTCTGTTGCCCAGGCTGGAGTGCAAGGGTGCAATCACGGCTCACTGCAACCTCCGCCTCCAGGGTTCAAGTGATTCTCCTGCCTCAGCCTCCTGAGTAGCTGGGATTACAGGCACCCGCCATCATGCCCGACTAATTTTTGTTTTTTGTTTTGTTTTGTTTTTTCTGAGATGGAGTCTCGCTCTGTTGCCGAGGCTTGAGTGCAGTGGCACAATCTCGGCTCACTGCAACCTCTGCCTCCCAGGTTCAAGCTATTCTCCTGCCTCAGCCTCTTGAGTAGCTGGAATTACAGGTGCGTGCCACCACACCTGGCTAATTTTTTTTGTATTTTTGGTAGAGACGGGGTTTCACTGTTTAAGCCAGGATGGTCTCAATCTCCTGACCTCGTGATCCACCAGCCTCGGCCTCCCAAAGTGCTGGGATTACAGGCATGAGCCACCGTGCTCAGCCTTAATTTTTGTATTTTTGTAGAGCTGGGTTTCACCATGTTGGCCAGGCTGGTCTTGAACTCCTGACCTCAGGTGATCTGCCTGCCTCGCCTCTCAAAGTGCATGAGCCACCAGGGGCACCCAGCCTGGAAGTTGTGATCTTATTTAATGTAACCATATATGCATAATCCCATACATCTCATTTCCTTTGTCATATTCTAATGGCTAGAAGCAAGTCACAGTTTCTTCTACACTTGGAGGAAGAGGAGGAGAGGATGACTACATAAAGGTATGGAAGGCCTTTATGGCCTGGAGTGGTGTGGAGGTGCCTCCTAGGTGTGGAGGCAGGATCATAAAGGCCTCTTTAGAATCTATCTACCACACTCAGCACCAGAAAGATGAAAATTTAATATTCTCTAATCCCAAATCTTAATATTGGTCTTCAAGGAGTTGAATAGCCTTCTCTACTTAAAAATTCGTCTTCTGCTAGCTTGCTCTCCACAGGTAGATTATAAGTGCTCTCTGGGCAGGGATGATTTGGTTGACTGTTGGTTTGCTGGCTTAGTTTTTTGTCTGCCCACATCCCCGTCCTATTCCACCTCCTACTAGTTCAATAGATTATCTGAAAACTCTTAGCTGAATGAATTTATTTCTTCGTGATCCCTATCTTTTTTTGAGAGCTGTGTTGAATATTAAGGAAGTGCCTTAAAAAGAAATTTCTGGAAGGCAAACAAGTAGGCAAGAGTTGGCCTTGCCCTTCAAATCAAGGAGGCTATTATTTAAAGGGGCCAATGGTGCTGCTTATGTCACCCTGCTAATTCCAACACCTCATTAATCTTATCTCTAGAGTTATTTCCAGGTGTAGAAACTGAAAACGCATTTGAATTTACTGTTTCAGTTGGCCAACACAGAAACCTCTTTTAAGAACTATTTTAACATTATGTTAGTTCTTAGACCTTTTATACATTCTAAACTCAATTCCATCCAGAATATCTCTGGGAGCATTAGTCCTCCCTCTAAGAAAATTATCATGGCAAGTTTTCTTGTGCAGCAACACTATATCTCAAATACATTCCAGCAGTGTTGTTTGTTTTTATATAGCAAAACTCACAGTATGCTTTTCCATTTAACTGTGAGCAAAAGAATAGCAATAACATAAATAAATCCCATTTCAAAAGTGACATCTGTATGGATTGGTAGGTTCTAGCAAGAGGCCTTATACAGCAAAAGAAACCGCTGGCTTTTAGTTTCCTGTGTGTTCTTTCTACTTGTTCACTAAGCCCATTTATATGAAAGATTTCTTTAACCATAAAACAGCTACATCTAAAGATTTATGAGAATCAAACATTTATTCCTGAGGCACTTCACCCTGTAAATAAAAAACTGTCTGAGTATTTAATACAGAAGCAGAGAGATAAAGAGATAGAAACAATTGTCCAACTCATTCTGTTTATTAATTACCATTTCTCCCACTCATTTCCTTTCGCTTCTTTATTTCCCCAGCCCTTGGAAAGTATTACTTTATATTCTCTCTGTCACTATTTCTAAATTAGCTTTCAAAATTGCTTTTACCATGAGGTAGGGCTGAACATACTAATGCAGAAACATGCTCACAATAGAGTAAGTGGCTGGAGCAGGAATCAGAAGAGTTATAGTAGGAGTCCAATTTTTGTTTAAATACATATACAAATTATATATAATAAATGAACTGTAATACATAAATATATGCATTTATAATCCATATACATAGTGTGTGTGTATTTGGAGAGAAAGAGAGCAAATACATATATTTAAGAGAGAAAATATGCTAAAATGAGAGAAAAATACATGACAAACTTTTAGCAGAGGGATTGCGGGGAAAGATGGGAAATGAGACATTCACTTGATAGATACAAATTTTCTTGCTTTTAAAAAATAGACGTATACTGCTTTTGCAAAGGAAAAGCAATACTACTTTCAAATTGCTTCTATTTGCATGATATCCAATTCTCCCCAAGGCTGTCCAGTCTTTATTACACCTATTACTGATACACTGCAGGATTTGGACAGGGATGGAGTTCACTGGTGATTACTTCCCCATCTACTATTATAAAATGTCATTACCTCAAAAAATTCTGCCTCAAATTCAAACCTAAGTGTATGTACCTTCCACTGAGAACTTGTCAGATTCTTGCCGTCTGTATTTCCATAGTACTTATCTGAATCTCCTCCCAGAGTTTCCAGCTGTTCCCAGAAGTGCAAACCTACTTCTGCTACTGCTGCTGCTGTGCATTGCACCTGCCTGCAGCTGTCAGGTTTATGAAGTGAGCTAGTAAATACTTCCCCAGGAAAAGCCGACATTCTGTAAAAAAATCAATTATAAATCACTGCACAAATAGGATCCAAAGGATAATTTCGCAAACAATAATAACCAAAATCATTAAACCCCATACTTGGAGAGTACTTTATACTTTCTGTTGTGCTTTTTTGGGGTCCATTTTCTCTTTTGGTTCTTACAATAATTTCATGAAGTAAGAAAGGCAAGAACATTGAGTCCCTGATTATTGTTACTTTGCATTTCACGGATCTGCTCATACAACACTGCTAAAAATCCTTACACTTCATTTTTTTCCTGATTAATTTGCTTAATCATCAATTCACCTGCAATCTCCAAAAATGCACGGTGCTTTGCTATCTAGGGAACATAGCTGAAATAAGCATTTTTCTTCTTCTGAGAGGAAACACAGTATAGGAAGAGCACAGGGTTTGGAATCAGATTTGTGATCTAATCTTGGCTCTGTCACTTACTAACTCATGCAGCCTTGGTCAAATGACTTAACCTTCTAAGCCTCAACTTTCCCATTGTGAAACAGGTTTTAATTTTTACTTAATAGGGCTGTTGTGAGGATTGTGTAAGAACCTGGGATAAAGCAGCCGCTTCAAAGAAACGTCAACATTTGGAACCTTGGCAAAATCTTTTCCCTGGCCCCATCTGCTGGAGATAAAGAGTAAAGTCGTGTTTATAATTAAGCAAAATATAGAGCTTTCAGTATGTAACTGTTCTGTGATCCAACATCATTTAAAGAAATTCGTAGTATTGAAAAGCAAGAATTAACTGTCCATATTCCTGTGTTATGGCAAGAGTCACACAGGTAACTGGTAGAAAAACTTCTGACTTAGAATCCATAAAAACAAAATGGAAGATTGGTGGAAGAATGGATATGTATGAGTGGAAGTAACAGAGACCAAGAGACCCATCAGAGGCAATGGCTGTCACCTCAGTGCGATTTGCTAGAGGTGGTGGCAGTGGAAAGGGATAGATTCTCAGAGTCTATTAAAAGAATGTAACCCATGGCCGGGCATGCTGTCTCATGCCCGTAATCCCAGGACTTTGGGACGCCGAGGTAGGCAGATCACCTGAGGTCAGGAGTTCGAGACCAGCCTGGCCAACATGGCGAAACCCCCTCTCTACTAAAATACAAAAACTAGCCAGGCATGGTGGTGGGTGCCTGTAATCCCAGTTACTGGAGGGGCTGAGGCAAGAGAATCACTTGAACCTGGGAGGCAGAGGTTGCAGTGAGCCGAGATTATGCCACTGCACTCCAGCCTGGGCGACAGAGTGAGACTCTGTCTCAAAAAAGAAGAAAAGAATGTAACCCAAATGGCAGCTAAAGTCACCTTGTCCTTTGAGGTTTAGATGAAATTCGTTTAGGCTACTTCAATATATAGGAAATTCAATATCTTTCCTAAAGGTTCGGTACATTTCTAGGGGCCCACATTGTCGCTTTTGGCTCCCTTTCTGTTTTGGATGAAATCTCTTTGTCATCTTCAAACCCCTGTGGCTTCTTTTTGTCTCTGTAGAAATTCGGATATAGGGCCGGGCATGGTGACTCACGCCTGTAATCCCAGCACTTTAAGAGGCAGAGGCGGATGGATCACCAGGTCAGGAGATCGAGACCATCCTGGCTAACACGGTGAAATGCCGTCTGTACTAAAAATACAAAAAATAAGCCGGGCGTGGTGGTGGGTGCCTGTAGTCCCAGCTACTCGGGAGACTGAGGCAGGAGAATGGTGTGAACCTGGGAGGTTCTTTCAGTGAGCCGAGATTGTGCCACTGCACTCCATCCTGGGTGACAGAGCGAGACTCTGTCTCAAAAAAACAAAAAAAAAAAAAAAAGAAAGAAAGAAAAGAAATTCAGATATATTGAGATACAAACCCAGCTTAACACTGAATATTTTTGTATTAAAAAAACTTTGCTGAAGGTTTGAAATAATGATGTTATACAGTGCTGCTAAGTAAGCCATTTAATCTGACTATTAGACATCCATGCTCTGACAAGTTCTAAGTAGCCTGCCACCCACAATTCTTCATTAGGAGACTTTCTCTGGAGACTCCAGCTTCTCACTTTGTTGCCTAAATCCCTTTCTTGAGTCTCTATTACTTCTTAATTCCTATCCTTTATTTTATAGAAAATGTCCGTTTTCCACCCACTCCTCAGCTCCGGACTTGCATTTGCATAACCAAACATTCATTAATAAGATTATGTTAAAACCTGTTAAAAATCAAGGTTCAGGCTGGGTGCGTGAGCCTGTAATCCCAGCACTTTGGGACGCTGAGGTGGGTGGATCACTTGAGGTCAGGAGTTCGAGACCAGGCTGGCCAACATGGTGAAACCCAGTTTCTACTAAAACTACAAAAATTAGCCTGGTATGGTGGCAAGTGCCTGTAATCCCGGCTACTCAGGAAGCTGAAGCAGGAGCATTGCTTGAACCTCGGAGGCAGAGATTGCAGTGAGCCGAGACCACGACTGCACTCCAGCCTGGGCAACAAGTGCAAAACTCTGTCTAAAAAAAAAAAAGATTCATCAATTCTGAGTGTTACCATTATTCTGTAAATAAATAAACTACCAGAGACTAAAGTTTCAGCTGTGCCTTGCTTTTCATACCCAAAAGCCTCTGTAAATAAAAGGAAACCGTATAGATATTTACATTCCCCCTGAAATATATAGTGCCAATTCTCTCCACAGTTCCCTCCCAAACTCACACATAAACCCAGAAGGCAGAAGTAGTTGCAGTTCATTTTGACTTCAAATTGCATTTTTTTCATTCCACTACCCAAAGAAACCATACAAATTGAGACTGATTACCTGTAAAGATTAAAAAAGAAAGAAAAATCAAAAACAAAGAATACTAGCACAAAACTCAGGAAACTGGAAGGAGAGGCCATTAAGAAGCATGATGAAGTGTTTAATTTTGTGTACGTTGGGCCTGAAGTCCCTTGTGTTGACTACACGAACATTTTAAGTAGTGAGCTGGACATCCAGGCTCAAAGCAGGAGGACAAGAGCAGTACTGAAGCTTGGATGACATAGAGATCAACATAAAAGTGACGACTAAAACTATGAGAAAAGCCGTGCTTTTCAAAGAGAAAGGAATGAAAGGAAATAAGGAAAGAACAAAGATTGAGCCTTAGGCAATGCCTACAATGCCAGTTGGTAGGAGAAAGAGAAAAACAATGACACAGAAGGAGCCTAAGCATTGTAGTGATTGGAAGAAAATCAAAAGAGCTTCAAAACCACGTGTCGTCCCAAAGGCACAGGAAGAGAGAACTTCAAGTAAGAGTAGTTGGTAATATCAGAGGCTCAAGGTACGACAAGAATAATCACCTCACAAGGTCTGCAAAAAGGCATAATTTTCTTAACACTTTAGTTTTGCAGTGTGTTGGGAATTAATTCCAGTTGCAAGGTGGTAGTGGCAGCTGTAGTAGCATTGTTTAACATTAATTGGGCATTTAATGTATGTCCAGGGTTACCAGGTAAAAAAGCTGAGTCCTCGTGTAAATTTAAATTTTTGACAAATAATGAATAATTGTTAGTATATATTCCATCTCAGATAAATAATGACTAATTTTTAGTATAACTATGTCCAATTTTAGATAACCCGAAATTTAAATTTAACTGGGCATCCTGTATTTTTATTTGTTAAATCTGGCAACCCTGCATACACCAAGCACTATGCTGAACATTTTGCATACCTAACTCATTTAATCCTTTTAACAGTTTTGTCTGTTCTTTGCATTACTACAAAGGAGTACCTGATTTCCATTCTTGAATGAGTTTTAGATAACATTTAGCTCACAATTTCCTAGTTGGTTTATTTTCCAATTTCATGGAATTTTATCCTATGCATGCATATTTAGCAAAGACTCGTTAAAAACCCCTTTGCAGATTTATGGAGCTCTTTTCTGGTGTAATTTTCTCCTTGTCAGAGCTCTCCTCTGAAACTTCCAGCTACTTCAAACTGCCTGAACTGTGATCTTCATCTCATCACAGGAGACCAGCATGATCTGCTTAGAATGTTCCTCCTTGCTACACATTCAAGAATGTGCCTGTAGCCAAAATGCCAGTGTAGTCATCAGGCTAACCTCATTTGTTTTTTTCTCTCAGGGATCATAGTCTTATGTGTCCTGTTGTTAAATGTCTAAAAACAGTTGTTTTATATACTTTTTCAAGTTTTCTAGTAGTTTAAGAAAGAAAATTAAATCCAGTCCCTTTACTTCCTCATGGACAGAAACAGAATCTTCATATCATGTTTTAATCTGGAATAATTAATTCTTCACTCTTGTTGTTTTTCATAACACTAATTTTTGAAGAGTACAGACCTGTTGCTCAATTTGGTTTGTCTAATCCATTTCCCTGTAACTATATTCACCAACTCTCAGTACATATATCAGAGGCATATGATGAATTGATCATTTTTGCAATATATATTTGGGTTCTCTTCACACCTTTGATGCAGGATTTTTTGTTCCTTAGTTCAGCTTAATCTGGGTTCTTGTCTCACAACCAGGAAAAATTAGGCACACAGACACGTTAAAAGGTGAGGAGGGCAGAATTTATTTAGCGAAGGGAAAGCTCTCAACACAAACAGGAGTCCTGCATGCAGGTTTCCACCTCACAAATTGAGTATCAGGCCACCACATACAAGTTGAAGAGGCCAGGCTCCTCCCCAGCATAAGGCAGAAATTCCTGGTGGCTCCACCCTATTCCCCCAGTGCCCATGCGGACCCTTACTCTGAGCCACTCCACACTGATTTATTTCCCTTACTGCTCATGTGTTAAGGGATGGAATTTTTCACTGTAAGCATGTTTAGGCAAGCTCCCAAGCACAGTAATGTGGGCGGGTTGGGACCCTTCCCTATTTGCCTAGGCATTTGGCTGTTTCCTGCCTCTATCACCTTGAAATCGTGTCGGACTGAAAGTGCATAGCTCTCCCTAGTGGTTAAAATGTATGATCAGACTAATTACTGGAAAAAGCAGTTTGATTAACTGATTAAGTCTATTTGGGGAAAAATTAAAATCCAGGACCGAAATATTGACACAATGGCGAGAAAACAGATCAGCTAATGAAAAGCTATGATGTTAATTATCTAGTACAATATAAAGTAATTGTCTGAGAAAGATAGTTGTAGTATTCCTTCCTCAGGCTCAGATCTGATCTTTTTTCCTAATAAAATCTCACATTTTTCCAAAATGTTTAGCCTTTTCTTGGTATTTATTTATCTCTAGTTGTTCAACAGATGAAATATATATGTATTTAATATATACTATTATTATAAATATATTATTGCACTAAATATAATAAATATATGTGAAATATATATATCTTGATGAAATAAGTGAAATGTATCTGTTGATGAAATATATATATATTTTCTAGATGAATACTAATACATATTGAATAGAAGAAAGAGACATCTGTATACTTCCATAGAGCACATTATCCTAAAAATATCACTTGGTATTGTATGATAAACAGCATTTTATTAATATTTATACTAACAGAAAATGATGTTAGCTTTCTATATTTTTTCTTTATAAAATCAAAATATATGACTTTATATTTTTATTTGCCCAAAGTTTGATTTCTTTCTCCCTCTGTGATTCAGAGCTCTAGATAGATAAGAGGTTCTCAATGGTTGGTGTATGTACTGCCCCATTTACAATGGCAGTTTTCATTAAAAATTATGAATAAGGATATAAAATGTCTTAAAAGCATCATGTGAATAATAGAATCAAATACATTGCTAAGATATCAGCTGTTACAGTTTTTATGCTAAAAAACAGAGTATCATTTAACATAGTTTTTAGCACAGCATTCACCTTAACTAGACAGTGTTCCCTTCATCACTGTCTCTTCTCCTCTCTGGTCAAGGGACTATCACAATGCCCCCCATATCAAAACAAAAAATGTTTGATTCTGACACCTGTGTTCCTCAATTCTAACCCTGATCTTGTATGTGGCTAAGATTTAATACAAAACTAGCCCAATTCTGTTCTTTTTGCCAATCCTAATATTAATTTTCAAAAGCACATTTTAATCTACAGTGGCATGCTGGAGCCACTTCATGATACAGTGCGCACTGACTGCGTATTGAAGCTAACTATTTCAACTATGCAAATGAAGCTGTAATGTCTGTAATTAGAAGGGATCTCACTGTAAATCATTTGACGTGAATAAGCATCTTCATTGCACTTCAGAAAAGCCTTTTTAATTAACAAGATCTAATAATTTTAAAGGTTTAATGAACGATTACACTAAAACCAATGATAGCACCAAGATGATTCATCATAATTTACTGTTTTTTTCCTCAGATGTGATTTCTAATTATAGGATAGGCAGGATCATGATTGAGGTTCTACCCTTATCAATATACCATTTTCATTATAAAATGAATCCTCCCACTGCCTGATGATATGCATTCTAACTAATGGGAAGGAGAAAGATGAAAAAAACTTACATTTATTAAATATCAGTAATATGAAAATTTTCTTATGCGTTAACTCATCATACACACACACACACATACACATACACGAAATATGAGGAAACACATATATGTTCAGAAACTTCTCCAAAGGTTACAGAGATAATGAGTGAAAAAATTTGGGTTGAACACAGACTTAATAGACTTTAGGTCCAACACCCTTTCCACTATATTACATTGTCTCTTTTTTACAACATTGTAGTTATGTATTGTTATTAATTCAGCTTCCAAAAGTAGTACTTTAACTTCCATTTCTATTTCTGCATTTTGATAGATAATTGACTCTCATTTTTAGTTTTTTATTTAAGGTGATTTTACTGGTTTCCATTGAAAGACACTGTCTTTAATATGTCATATGAATTTTAGATGTTCAACTAATTTATATATAAACAACATTTGTTGATAGCCGCCTATTTCTGTTAAAAATATTACTGTCTTCATTACACCCATGACTTCTGCTCATTGTCTGAACAAAAAGGTCAATATGGCTTTCCTGTGTCCCCTAATAACACTCACCATTGTCTCGTAAACTCTGAAACTTCTGTATTCACTTCTGTTTTTCTCCATTCACTGCCAAGCTAGTTCATTAGCTTGTCCTATAAGCAAACAGGTTTCAGCATTTCAAAGATTTTCTAAACACAATGCAAACATATAGATGTGGTACACTTTTCCTTGGAACTCAAGAGCAGAATGTAGTAGCAATTCTTAGCCCAGATAGCCAATGTCTTTGGGTTTTTTTCACCATATCTTATCTGTTTAATTCACAATATTATTAGTTGAATGAATTGAATGCCTGACTGAGGACCCTCATTTGTTCTTGACTTTTCACTCAGAAGGTTTGTATTATAAAACCAAACTACCAGAAATTCCAAAATACGTAATTGTTGGTAGTCATGATCTATTAGAATTGATAATGTAGAATTTGCCCCTCTCTTAAATGTTCCAAACTATGATCACCTGAACAATAAGCAAACAAATAAAATTTTCATTGTTTATTCTGCCCTTAATGGGAACTTATTTAATGTCAGTAAAATTAGATCTGAACCTGTAAAGTAATAAATAAATAACTGGACAATAAACATAAGGAAAGATTATCTTCCAACCACATTCACATACCCAATGCCAAGCACAAATGTATCAGCTGGGAAATCTAATCTCTCCAGAGGACTAAGATCATCAAATGTTGTGGGCTCCATTAAAGGCTTCACATTTTACTTTAAATTTACCCATGGCCCCATCGAGTTAAAACTCCACAGCTCATATACCAATGCAATATAACTCAGGTTTTTATTAAACTGACTCAAAACACTTTAAAATGAAAACAATCATTCTAAAAGAAAATGTGCTCTGCAAATGAAAATGGCAAAATAAAAACATTGGTTCTAATACACCCAACAAGTCCAAGAGGTGATCCAAAAGAAACCTACAAAAGGCCCAAAGGAAAACAGCAACATTAACCACTTTGCATAACAGCTCCCAGTCAGTGAGGACTAATTACAAACTAGCCATCCCATATTTCTACGAAATGAAAACATAGTCAGTGTAACTGGAGAGTAGATAGTTAAGTCCTCTTCATTTAGCTCTGTATTAATAAAAAGAAGCTATTTCCTTCACCATTTGAAAATGTGCCACGATGTCATGTTAAGCAAGTCATACATGCTTAATGATAGAGTCTATCAGAAAGGAAATTTAAATCCTAGGCCCTGTATCAACAACAAGAAAAATGGGACATGTAGATCTTGCCTCTCTCCTGACCACACTGTCTCCCTATCTTCTCGCCATAGTTTACCAACATATGTTGGGTAACAGACAAGCACTATAACAAGCACCACAACAACATAAAAAGACACAGACATGGTCTTTAACATGCTTTTGCAGATTTCATAAGTTGTAGGGGTTGGGGGTGGGGGTGGGGGATGGGAAGAAAGGAAAGAAAAGAAAATTAGTTTTTATTTCTAGCAAGAAGCCAAATCATACAGTAGTCAATATGGGCTCTGGATCCAGGTCACATTGAGTTCACATCCCAGCACTACCACCTACTAGCTTTGTGATCTTTAGTAAATTACTTAACTATGTCTCAGTTTCCTTATCTGTAGAACAGGGTGATATTAAGTCTACTCACACCCTAATATAGGATAAACAATGAAGTATATGACATAAGCCTTCAATAAATATTTACCACTAACACCAGATACTACATGTTTAGTGCCATGCCATCCCAAGTGCTTTTGGAAGCACTCAATTTTGATATTCACATGACCCATACTAACCATTATGGTAGTTACCCTATTATACAGATGCAAAATTGGGCATGCAGAAAATTCAAATTTATTGTCAAATGATACATAGTAAATGGTAGACTTAATTGGAACTGAGATACGGAATATCGAAGGCACCCATAAATATATTTTAAACAAATAAATGAATGGGTTCTGAAGCTTATATTGGCAAAGCTCACACTCTTTTCACTACGTGTTTCTATCTGACATGTAAATATCTATAAATCATTTTACTACATAGCAGCTCTAATAAATTGTTAAACAGCTATAGAAATCCAGTCAATGCTTCCATACTATGCTAGTCAGGGTTCTCCAAAAGCATTTATTATAGAGACTGAGAAGTCCCAAACTGGAGACTCAAGCAAGCTGATAAGTAGTTCCATCCAAGTCTGAAGGCCTAAGAACAGGAATGCCATTGGTGTGAGTTCCAATTCAAAAGTCATCAGGTTCAAGACCCAAGTAGAGTCAATATTTCAGTGTCTGAATCCAAACACTAATGTTTCAGCTTAAGCAGTCAGGCAGGAGGAGGTCCTTCTTATTTATGGGAGAGTCAGCCTTTTGTTCTATTCAGGTCTTCAATTAAGTCCATCCACATTGGTGAGGATAATCTGCTTTGCTTAGTCTACCGATTCAAATGTTAGTCCTATCCAGAAACACCCTCACAGACATACCCACAATGATGTTCGGTCAAATGTCTGGGCACCTCATGGCTCAGTCAAATTGACACATAAAATTAACCATCACATATACTTTCAAAAACAAACCTAAGCTGGTGCTTTTATAACATGACTGAACAAGATTTCCCTTCCATTTAAGATAGACCTAATTAACTCATGTCCTAATCAGCTCTCCTGAAAGTGAACTGCAAATTGATTTAATCTTGTTTTCTTCACATTGGTCTTGCTCCTCTCTTGTAATCAAGAACACACCTTTAGGGTAATTATAATTTGCCACACAATTATGTTCAGAAAACTGAGTTTTCAAAATTCTGTTACAGCAAGAAAAAAAGGGCAACACATCTTGCAATATAAGACGATGGATACTACAAATCACCCTAGGCTCACAAGGCATGCTTGGTGCCCAAACTCAGATTTACTCTTAGGTCTGGCTCTTGACCCCAGATATTGTATCACTTGTCCTCCATTTCTCAGTCTTCCCAGCTCAAGACCTTAATATGCTAGCATGTGCAGCTTCTGAAACTATTTACTTATTTGTTCAAAATATATTTACTGGGTGCCTTCAATATTATAGGCATTGTGTTAGTCTCTGGAGAGGCAGCCGTCAACAAAACAAAGTCCCTGCTTGCATGGAGAAAAACTTTCTAGTGGGAAAAGATGTCACAGGTGTGACTAGCTAGGGCCAATGTCATTGGCAATAAAGGAATTTACCAAGACAGTCATGGGTAAGAAAGGCAGATTTATTACAAAAAGTATAAAAATATGTTTCAAGGTTTTCAACAGGCAGCACAGTAGAGAAGGGGCTATCTGCAAAGAGGCAGGGGCTGGAGGGAAATTTTCCAGGGTCTTGCTAGAGGGGTGGTGGTGTTGGGGCTATGTGTGGAAGGAGGTCATTGTGCCCGCGGGTTGTTTGTAATTAGCCACCTCTCAGAACAATTGTTCATTGTTCTTCCCCACCTGGGGCCCTTCCCAACATGGGGCACCTTCCTTGTTGTTGCTTATTTATCTTATCAGGACTCTACATTCTTCCCCTGACAGAACAACAATGACAAATCTTTGGTATTGGGGTGGATGTCTCACCTTCCAACTGTTTCCTGCTGGCCTGGGGCATAGAGTTGACCCTACCTATGGTCAGTGGTCTGTCAGGAGACCTTGTGTGTTATTGTCCCAGATTGTGGGATCTAGGATATTGGATCTTGCTAGAAGAAGGGACTCATCAGAGAGGGGGAGCACATCACGGCAAAACTGGTGTACAGCTGAATCTAGGGGAGATTTGTAAAAGTAGCAGGCATCACTGTGGGAGACTGATATTCTGTTTGCAGCATCATCTGAAGGTGAAACTGCTGAATTATAGAAGATAAAAGTTTGTTTCTTAGGCCAGTTACTGAAAAGGCAAAAAAATCTTTTGCAGTGTGGCTGTTTTTCCTTATTGGAAGCCCATTTAGATAACCTGGAAGTTAAACTTGATTAAAAAATGTTTCAATTTCATTAGACACAGAAAGAATGTGTTCAGGGTTATGAGTATAGCAGGGGAAGACATGACTCTTAGGAACAACATGAGAAGTTTATTTTTTATTACATTGAGAACTTAGAAATATCAAGAAAAGCCATGGTACAGAATTAAATTATGTTAGAGGAAAAAAATTGCTTATTTTTTTTGACCTTCAAGATGGAACATTTTAGCCTTAGGCCATAATAACAGAATTAGAGGAAAAAGTTACAGGAGCTGACAAAAACGAGAGATTTATTATCTTAGGTCTTATCCAGGGGAGAACAAGCTGAAAGTAGCAGAACACAGCAAAAGTTGAACTTCTGAGATATGATACTAGAAGTTTCTTAAAGAAACACTTATAAAAGTAAAAGTTCTTACAATTTTATTAAGAGCAGATTAATACCTTAAGAAAACCTTGCTTTAACATAAGGGACCAACATTATAAAGACTGTCCCAAATAATCTCCTTTCAATTGTAACCAACTTAATCACATGTAAAATTTCTCTCATAAATTCCCCTTTCATGAAGCTTCTCACAACATACACAGACCATCTATGGCATGTTTGGACTTTCTGATTTGTCCTAAACAACCATTGTTTTTTGTTTGTTTGTTTGTTTTTTAAGACAGAATTTTGCTCTTGTTGCCCAGGATGGAGGGCAATGGTGCAATCTTGGCTCACTGCAGCCTCTCCTCCTGGGTTCCAGCGATTCTTGCCTCAGCCTCCTGAGTAGCTGGGATTACAGTCATGCACCACCACACCCTGCTAATTTTGCATTTTTAGTAGACACAGGGTTTCTCCATGTTGGTCAGACTGGTCTTGAACTCCCCACCTCAGGTGATCTGTCCACCTTGGCCTCCCAAAGTGTTGGGATTACAGGTGTCAGCCACCACGTCCAGCCAACATCCTCCTTTTTAAACAACCAGTCATTCTACTTTAGGACAAGAATTTACTCTAGAAGATCCTTTCTCATATAAAAATATCTTATTTATAACCTTTTTTTATCAGCAATATCACTTTACCTTTATAAGGTATATATACCTTTATACATTTTTATGTCTCTCTTATTTCCTGATTCCCTTTAACTTGTTTTATATATAGCCTTTAAGTAACCTTTAAATTAGACAAAAATTATTTCCCCTTTGTTAG